GTTGGACGGGCCCGGGTCCTGCCCTGCAGCCCCTTCCCCAGCCCAGGGGGGCAGGGTGGGCCCCTCGTAGCGTCACGGAGCTGCTCAGGTTGGAGAAGCCCCTCGGGACCATCAAACCCATCGTCCCTGCTCTGCAAAGCGCTCCCCTCAACCCCACCCCTCCCCGGGCAGCCCGGGCCCGTCTCTGACCGCCTCAACCCCCCCTGTTGCAGCTTGAAGCCCTTCCCTCCTGTTCTGTCACTAACGACCCGTGAGAAGAGCCCAGCACCGACCTGGCTGGGTGTTCAGGACCATCAGACCAGTGACTGGCACCAGTTCCCCTTCCCTGGCAGGGATTCCCACTCCCAGCCACCAAGGAAATCCCTAGAAGACAAAACCAAATCCTATTCCAGGATCTTGCCTTTCCCTTCTGCTTCCTTAGCAGGTATTTTTGAACCAGGCACTTTTGAACCAGATCAACCTTTAAAAATCAACAAACACAGCAAGAAGAATCAGTGGGAAGTACCAAAAACCTTTTTTTTTTTTTTATTTCTGCCCTCCCCTCCCTCCCTTCCCCAAAACTGTAACAACATTTGACATTATATTGATTTTTCCTCATATATTTGTTATTTCTCTACGTTAGGAACCAGATACAGAAAATACAAACACGATCTGTTGAATCAAAGACAGCACAGCATTCCGTTAGAAAAAGAAAGGAAAACACAAAAAATACCCCAAACAACCCCAAACCTAGAGGAGCAAGATAAAAAAAAAAGGGTGAAAAATAAGTCATTCCCTCCAGCCCAAACTTTCCAAGAATCATCATTAAAATAGAGCAGTGGAAGTAGCTTCTCTTTCTAAACACATTTCTGCTTATAAGAAGGAAAAAAAAAAAAGGTTAAAGGTTTTTTTTTCTTTCTTTTAGATTTTGAAGTAAAAAAAAGAAAGTTAAACTTCTCTTTCAAGCCATTTTTGGAAGTTTGCATAGACCCATTCCCTTTCCAAAAATATCAGCCATCTCTCTCTATAGAATCTGATACAAATCAGGTTTGTGCCTCAGCTCAAGATCAATCACCAAACTCCCTTCACTTTCAAGAAAATAAAACATGATCTCCCCTTCCCCTCCCTCCCTCCCCCCCACAAAAATACGGGCTCTACAGCTTATTCCTTGTGTTTGGGGCAGGTCCCGAGGCTCAGCCACATCCATTCCTTTTTCTTCTTTTCAGTTTTCCCCCAGTTTTTCCACATCCATCCGTTCTCTCCCGGCGGGGGGTGGTGGATGTGGGAGGGGGGGATGGATTGGGTGGGACCAGGTGCTGCTTGGGAGGGGAATTTTTTTCATCACCCCTCCCCAAAAAATAAAAACAACCCCAAACAAAAGCGAGGAAGTGGCTTTTCAAAGGACAAACACCTGCGACCAGGCAGTGTTTGTAGGAATTTTAACCCCCCTCCCCTGGGGGGGAACCAGCCTTGTCCACAGGGCTGAGGCTCCAGGGGGGGTTGGCAGGGGATGGGGTAGGAGGGGAAAATTCGCAGCTCCCGGGTAAGGCAGCCAGGGGGGGGATTAGGGGGGGACCCCTCTCCAGGAGGGGTGTTTCACCTCGGTGCTCTTTAGCGTACCTGGAGTGAGGTTTGTGTTTTGTTTTGTCGTTTTTGTGTGTGTGTATTTTTTTATTCCCAGAGGTTCACAAAGGGGCCCTGCAGAGTCCAGCTGCACGGCCACCAGTTTCAAAAGAAACAGCAACGACAAAATAATTTACAAAAAGAAAAAAACAAACCCAACCCAACCCCAAAAAACCCCCTCAAAACAGAAAACAAACGCCCCAAAAAAACTCAAGATGAGAATGAAATAACTTGTCAGGTCTCAGCCTGGTTTGGAACCCTCTACAAGCTTAAGCAAACATTTAAAAGGGTTAAATTCACTTTCTGAGGGAGGCAAAAGTGATGTGGCAATGAGGGAGGGGGGAGGAGCTGACAAGCCTGCTGCCCTGGGGTCAGGACAGCACAGAGACCCCCCCTTGAAAGTGCCAACCATGCAGAAGGTGGAGGAGCAACATCCTTCTCACCCCTTTTTATCATCACAATTCTGAGATGAAACCCATCTCCTTCACCAAGTCACAACTAAGCCTGTTCTTTTGGACATTCACTCTGTTTAGACTCTGGTTTATTCTTTTTTTTTCCTTTAAAAAGTTAGTAAAAAAAAATGACATGGAATTTCCCAACTCTTTGCAAGGGGCTTCCAGCAGCTAAAGGTCCAGGAACTGGGAGAGGAGAAGCCCAAAGGTTTTGCCTGGATTTCAGCCTGGAGCAGAGAGCCAGCTCTGCCCTGCAGGGTCAGCCAGGCCTGAGCAGTCCCAACTCACCAGCCTCAGGGACCCAGGGGACACAGAGTCCTGCCAATAATGTCATTTTACTTGTTTCAGCCACCTCTGAATCCCCTGAGCAAAGGGAACAATGTGGGGAAGAACATCCTCCCTCATCCCTCCAGGAATAAAATATCAATGAAACAATAATGCAGTTTTAAAAAAAAACAAACCAACCCAAAACAACAAACCCAAAACACCAGCCTGCTGGGTTTATAACAAAAAATAATCAAAAAAAGTCAATAAACTTCAAGACAGAGGGAGAGGGAGGAAATAAACCAAAAAACCCACCAACCCAGAAAGAAAGTAGCCAGGGGTTTGGGTCTGGAAACTGATTCACTTCTTAAATGTTCCAAGTCCAACAAGGAACAGAGGGCAGGGATGCCATGAAGGAAAAGTGCTCGTGAGAGGCAGTTCCCCAAGAGATGGGACAAGTGACCCCACTTCCATCCCCACCCCGGCTCGGGATGGACACACAGCTCTGGGGAGCTCTGAGTGGGATCCAGACTGGGAACAGGCTGGTCCTTCCCCCTCCGGGGCTGCTCTGGGGGCTCCATCCCTGGCCCCATGACTGGGGCTGCTTTCTTATTCAAAACGAGGGGGAGGAGAGAGCTCAAAAGCTGCAGAAAGACCAGGATCTGTGGGTCAGCACTAACGTGGAGACAAGGAAGAGAAACCCGAGGGGACAGAATTCTCAAAAGGCAGAGCAGTGAAAGCCAAGCTGCTGGAAGAGGAGCCAGAGATGGACCCAGGTTGGCCAGAACTACGTGGTGGAGCAGGTGACACCTCTGCCAGCCTTGGTATGATGAGACCAGATGTCTGAAAAGCTCACTTGCTTCTCTGGCTTTGCTGGGAAGAGACCCCTCCCTCTGTCCCACTGGGAATTCTGAGCTGCCAGCACCTCGGAGCAGCCAACTCCTGCCAATGGGAGCCCAGGAGAAAGCCCTGAGCTCCCAACTGCTCTGACAGGGACTGCCATTGTTTTCCATGGGAAGAGAAGCAAAGCAGCAGAAGCGAGCTGGGTTTTGGCCTCTTTCCTGGCTCTTTTCAAATCGTGGTGGACCCAATTCCTTGAGGGGCTCTGCTGGCCCCTGGGGAGCAGCCTGACCTTCAGCCCTGCATGGCCAGACAGAGCAGAACAGAGCTGCCTGAGCCTGCTCCTGCCCTCACCCTGACCCCAGCAGAGGGCCAGGCCAGGCCTGGCCTGGCCTTCTGGCAGAGCTTTGCCAGGGAGAGGGGGAAAAACAAGCAGTTCCCTCCTTCCTGCAGACACGCAGTGTCTCAGGAGCAGGGCAGGATGCTCACCAGCCTGCTAGTGAGTGCCAAGCCTACCCAGACTGAATGGAGAAGAAGTCACCCTTAAAAAACACCAGTAAGTGTGAAAGAGCTTTTGTTCCAGACAGACTCAAAAGATCCAATACTTTTCCCCCCCTCTCCATTAAACCCAACCAAGGTGTTGCCTTGATGCTTTCTTACCCTCATCCAAATGTAATTCCCTTTGATGGGAAAGGGTGAAAAAGATCCGTATCCTACGTGCGGTCTGTCCAAATACAGAAATAAACCTTGTGACTCAAAAAGAGAAACCATCAACACCCAGTGAGCAGCCGTGGAGCTGTGCCTTGCTGCCCAGCACCCTCCCCACCCTTAGCTAGCAGGGCAAACAAAAATATGTATATAAATCAGGGCCCTTTCATTCCTTGTTTCTCATTCTGCCAAATTCCCTTTTCCAGTACCTCATCTGCATGCATCCTGGCCACAGAGACCAATTAATCCTTTTTGTTTGTTTTCTCCTTTAAGGAAAAGGCTTTAGGATAAACCAAGAATGTGAACAACAACGTGATCAGTTGCAAGTCTTTCCTTGCTGAAGGGGACAAGTGTGTGGCTGTGCCAGTGTGCCCAGGGGAGGGCACGTGTGTGCCTGTGCCATCATCCCCTGGAGCCTGTCACTGCTCCCAGTGCTGCTGCAGCACAGCAGAGAAAGAGGAAAGGGCACGACACAGAAATAGCTTATGGGCTGAGAGTCTCTGTACAGGAAGGGCTGCAAGCACAGCCTGCTAAGGGCCCAGGGCTGCAGAGATCCTGCCTGCAGTTCAGCTGCCAGGAGGATCTGTTGAGTGGAAGCTGAAAGGGACCAGCTTCTCTGCATGCACTGCAAGGAAAGGAGGCAGCTGAAGTGCCAAACAACTGCAGAAACCAAACCCAAAGAGCAACTGGAAAGATCAACCAGGAAACAGTTTGAAGCCTTGTCAGAAGAGTTCACTCACCACGGAGCAGGTAAGAGTGGCTGCTATGGCTAATGCAGCAAACACCCATTCTGCCTTTGAAGACAGAGGTGGTGGCTTCTCTCTGGCCCCCCAGAAAGAGCCACAGATCCCTGCTGACAGGGTGAGACAGACCAACCACCATCACCTCCCTGCCTAGCCCAGGCCAAGAGGGGCAACTGTTAATCACCACCACAACAAAGAGACCATTGCAGTCAAGTACATCCTGCTCTGGCCCAGGGCAGGGCTGTCAGATCACCAGATTCTTTTCACAGCTCAAGAAGGGCAGTTCCCTTCCTGAGGCACAAAAAAAGAAGGAAGAAAAAAAACCAAAACAGAGGCTTTGTATTCCAAGCTCCAGCAGTGCCCGTTTGCTG